TTCTTTTTAAAAATCCGCAAACGAAATCCGCAACTCGCAATAGCATAAACCCGCGCAATTTACGCAATCCGCAACTCGCAATCCGCAATTGCGTGCAGACCTGCACATGATGCCATAAGGTCACAAGATCTATGAATGCTTTAGGAATAAAAGTGATACTTACTGAAGCAATACCGAATTATCTCTCTTGTGGGTATTCATCAATATCCAAGCTATTGTTTTTAATCTATTATTTAGATTGGAAAACGAACCATTCCATTATGTAAAGAGTTAAACAAAAAATTTATTGATAAGGTTGTCAAAGAAGAGGATTTAATACAGTTAACTTCATCAATGGGAGTACTGTTAAACTCCTCTGAATTTATGGAATCCAGCATTTCTAATTTTGAAGAATGTGAAAAGATAATTTTTGATGAACAATTTCCTGAATATATAGGGAGAATGTTAATTATATCTGGATTGGCACGAAAAAACGAATATTACGTAGATATTGCTGATCGAATCATAAATTATATTAAAAATAGAAAATATGAGGGTAAAGAAATTATCTGATTTTTTTGATACTTTACTTAAATTCGAGGGTTTAAGCCTTCTAGTTCTGTCTTTTAGTCTGCTCTAACACTTACGATATTCTTTGCAAAACATCGTATATACCAGACTTGGTAATAGATACTGATTTGGTCCTACACTCACACCCCCTCTGGTCCTATACTCACACTCACACACCCCCTCAGACCCCTTCCCCTCAGTCATATCCTCAGTCCCCTCATCAGTCCAATCCTTAGACCCATTCCTTCAGTCATATCCTCATACACCCTCAGTCCTATCCTCAGACCCCTTCCCTTAAGTCATATCCTCAGACCCCACCCCTCAGTCTTATCCTTAGATTAAAGTCCTATCCCAAGTTTAAAAATTTGAATTTTATTAAATTTTAACACAGAATTGTTGACATTTGTGGTAATTCATCATGGAAATAATTTTGTTGAAATTGCTAAAATTTTGAAGGACAAGATTATAGCATCTGAAGATGCAAATTTGGTAAAAATTGAAAATGATGTGTTGGGTTTGGATGCGTTTTTCAAATTTATTTTATCGGAAGGCGATGAAGCTAATGAGGAAATTGTTGAAGATAAAGGAGATGTAGAGGATGAGGAAATTTTTGAGCGAAATGTTGAAGAGATTGAAGATGACGGATTTGTTAACGAAGATGAAGAGGATGGAATTGCTGAAGAAGATGAAAGAGATTTGGGTAAAGCTAGTGATTCTATAGCGAGTTATGGTTCTATAGCGAGTTTTGATTCTGATTATGATGAACTATCTCCAAATTTAAAATGCTTATCGTATACAGAAAAAGAGTATGGAACTGAGGTGAAGATGGGAAATTTTGAATATGAGTATACTGGTAATTTTTAATTTTTATGAGATATAAGTAGACGATAATTTTAAATTCAAATGTTAAGCTGACTACCATAATGGAGATTGGATTAAATTGAACGATTTATGTAGAAGAATGGCAATTTTCGAAAACGATCTTGATAGTATTTTAGAATATCTACCGAGTAAAATGAAGAGAAGAGGTGATTTTAAAACATTTAATGAATGGAAGAATGGACAAAATGAAAATTCTATTTCGAGTAGAATTGAAAAGCTAAAAAAGAGGTGTGAAGAGATAGAACAGGTATTTCATATAAATCTATACTAAAAATTAATAAATAAAATTATTAATAAATAAAATTTTCATTTTGTAGGTGATGGCAAGCAAATCAGGTAATATAATTCATTAGTATTCCAATAATATCATTTATAATAAAGGAATATTTTAAATAATAAATGATTAAATATTTATATAAAATTATATACATAACGTATATATAATTAAATAATTACCCACTCTAGTAATAATACCTGCCGTATACCCCCATAGAATTATCACATACAGTGGGAGGTTGAAACTTGATTAGCATGTATAACTTGATTAGCATGATCATATAAATATATTTATTTTAGCTATCCCTGTCAGAGATGGGAAGGGTTGGGAAAAATAAGTTTAGGATCGTGTTTAAAGTAAAAATCTCGTTTTATAAAATTCTGAATATCCACGATTATTGTCATTAATATTCTCTTTATAGAATTTACGTGTAGTCGTTATCATCCAATTACTGATTCAACTGATCCATTTACTAAGTCGGATAAAAATAGATCAGCATCTTTATTGACAATTTTGGAATATATTCAATCTTTGTCAGATTACGATAAATTACGCTGGGAGTTGCAAAATAAATTATTTTTGCCTCTTCCACAATGGCGAAGGCAAGAATTGGCCAAGTTATATTGCGAAAAGGTGTTTAAAATTTATGTAGGTCATTTTATAGTTTAGTATCGCAATTAAGCTTTATGAGGCAAGTCAAAATTTTACGTAGCTAATATGCTTATTATTAAGAAAAATTGATACCCTCCCAGGGTTGGATCTTCCGAGGGTCGAGAGACCTTCGGGAGACCTTCGGGAGAAGCCCTGGGAGTCCGGTCCCCTAACCTTACTAAAAACTTTTAAACAAATCTATCAACAAAATATTTTTATTCAACACAAAAAGGGAAAGTTTTTTAAGCGATAGGGGGAGAAAAGAAAAAGCCTCTCCTTTTTTAGCTGTTCGGATGACACAATGAATGTTTTTTGGTCTTTTTCTTTTCTTTTATAAAGCTGAGGGAAAGTTACTCAATAACAGCTGTCAGATCTATAACACTTATCATTAGGCTCATAAACTTTAATTGAGCTGATAAACTTATAAAAATCGTTGGAGAATTAAGCGAGATCAATCATAATTTCTATTGTTCTATAACTGTTTATATTTATAGAGTAATATGAAGGAATGTTTTAAAAAGATTTTTTATGGAAGTGAACAGTTTGGACATCATAAATCTCAATTATTAGAATTGTTGATAGACGATAGAAGTAAATCACTGGCTGATAGGCTTTATTACACCATGAATTCAGGCGAGATTTAGATTTTAAAATATGTTAGAAACTAACATTTTTAGAGGATCCAATAGATTTTGATATTTTGTATGACATTATATTGGCAAGTCCCAAATTTGAATTGAAACAGATTATAAACATGTTTAATAATGTATTAATAAAGCAGGATGAAGCAAAATATAAAGAATTTGAGAAGATAAAGAAAAATAAAAAAGTTTCAAAGCTGCAAGATTTTTTATCTTATAAACAATATCTGACAATAAATCAGAGAGAGATGACAGAGATATGGGACATTTTGATTAACCGAATAGAATCCGTTGGAAATGATCAATTTTTCGATGAAAAATTTAAGGAGGTTAAGATATATTTTTCAATTTAATATTAAAAGCAGAGTTGGGCGATATCAGGATTCCGACCGGTATCGGGCGGTATTATAGAGATTTTTCAATACCGATATCACCGGTATGGGATTTCGGTATTAGCAAAAAATTGGGAATCTCGATACCGGTTTTGGCCAATCCCGATACCAAACCGGTATCGGTATCTCATTCAAAATTCCGATACAGATTTTAGGTCGGAATTCCGATACTGCCCAACTCTATTAAAAGTACAAGGCTCCCTCCCAAATTAACAAGGTATAAGATCACTGGAATAGAGTAATAGCACAGAAGGCTTGAAAAACTTATTTGGTAACAACACAGATTTTAAAATTCTTAAAATTCGCCAAATGTCATAACGCCAAAATCGCGCAAACTACCTTTATTTAAAAACATTTTTATTAGCCTTACTAGCAAGAAATTTATTAAAAAAATTTTTTTACTTTGTTTATATATAAATATATATTTAAAAATTAATTTTAGAACTTTGAAAAAATCCTTAAATTATGTGAAGATCCCACAAAAAATAATTATGGCGAAGTATTAACTGAAGCATTTAAAGAAATCCTGATCAATTTTGAAAAGTCGTCAGATATCGTATCAACGTTTGTTAAAAAGTTTAAAAAATGTGGTAAAAAATTTTTCAAAACTCCTTCAAATGAAGAAAGTCAAGGGACTATACAGAATAATAATGTTGTGCATGGAGGAGATAGAAAGGATGAAGGAGCTAAAATTAAAGGGTGAGTTGAGTTGTCGAGTCCTAATCACATACTTATTGTAAGACTGGAAAGGTTTCCTCCCTGCTGATAGATAAAGCAAAGATAATAAGGATCAGTCTTTTGTGGAATGATTATGCATTTACCTTGCATCAGGAAACGCTTAAGATCAAGTCGACTTTTATTTGATCCAATCTTTTGCTATTTTCTGGAAAGTATCACCCGCTTTACTATATCAAGGGTAATTAGGATATATGTTGAACAGAATGGGGTGTTTTGTGCATCTCTAGCTTGGTGAGTCCTCGTCACAGGATCTTGGAATTATTTTGGAATTATCCATGATAAACCCCAAAAATAGTAAAACTCAAAAACGTGTACTGGGAAAATACTGGGAAACTTTTACAAGTTTAATTCTTAGATTACCTGAATACATGAAAAGAATGCTGATTATAGCTGGATTTGCTGGGAATGATCAATATATGGAGGATACTACTAATCGAATTATTAATTATATTTTTAATGAAAAATTTGAAGGTTATTCATTTATAAATTTAAAATTATATCCTATATATCACTTCTATCACTGATAGGATATTAATTTACAGAAATTATCATCATAGTCGGGGGTTAAAATGTAATCCAATATGTCTAGTATGAGGTGTCGTATGAGAGCACACTATAATAAAAACCCATAAGAGAAATGTTTGTTATGGCTACGGGAGTTTTAAGTAGGTCTCATCAGATGAGCTTATTCTAGAAGTGGGTATCTACAAGAGATGGGCTTATATTAAAGTATTACTGTATCTTTCATATAGGGAGAGTATATAAATAATTTTTATCATAAATTACTTATTTAACTCAGAATTATTGTCTCTCGTTGTAATTCATTATGGAAATGATTTTGTAAAGTTAGTACAATTTTTGGAGGAGAAAATGAAGTATTATAAAGACGAAGGAAAAATATTACAAAGTGAATTTTCGAAAACGTCATTAGAAGATGTTGGAATATATACTCAAAAAACAAATGAAATGAGAAAAAAATTAAAGGAATTAAAGAAGAAAAAAGAGGAAATCATCGAGGAAATGAAGATGAAGATGGGAACTGAAGAGGAAGAAGATTTAAGAAATAAATTGAAAAAGTTGGAAGAAGATGAAAACAAACTAAAGATTAAATTTAACGATTTACAGATGAAAAATCGTTTGAAATCGGATATTAGAGAGTATAATGGGAACTTTAAAATACGAAAACGCAAATTAGGAAACAATGAAGTTGCTATAATGAAGTTACAAAATGAACAAGAAAATCTGAGCACTGAAATGAAATTAATAGAAAATGAGTTAAAAAAGTTAAAAAATGAAGAGATTAAAGTAACTGAGGAAGAACAATTAAAAGACATTGAGTTAAAGATATCAGAAAAAGAAAAAGCATTGACAGAAAAAGATGAAAAAATAAATGAAATTAATAGTAAAATATCAGCTCTACAAAATGGTTATGGTAACAAAACGATAAATTTTCATTAGAGACCGGACTGGGAGGGTCTTAAGAGAATCGAAATCTTGAAGCCTTACATCTTCGATCTAGATAACTGAGATTTTCTATCGAGATCTCGTCAGATCTTTTCACGGTCCATTCGATCGAGATCTCGTCACGATCCGTTCTCTTCAGATCTCGTCACGTGGGTCTGCACGGATGGGCTTATATTAGAGGTGGGCTTCTAATTGAGCTGGGCCTATATTAGAATGTCTACAGTATGTGGTTTATTAGAATCAATACGGTAATATACATATTCTATGTATGCATAATGTGCATGAATCAGTGTTTTCTCATAATTTAATAAATCTCCTTGTAATAGGAAAAGTATGAATCCGTTCAAATGTAAAGCATGAATTTGATTAAAATGGTTAGAATTTGATAAATAAATCCAAGCTCGTTACCATTTAAAGTACAGATCGGACGAGATCTTTAAAAAATCGAGATTCTTCGGAATATCAATGTAGATTCACATACGACAAGCTCAGTCCGTTCACTAGTACCATTACCGCTTTTAAAACACTAAACTGACAGGAGAAGAAAAAGAACTGACAGAAGAAGAAGAAACCCGATTAAATTTAGAAGAAGAAAAAGAAGAAGAACAAGAATTAAAATTATCGGAAGTGAAAGAAATAGTAAAAAACGAGGAGAAACCATTCCTAGAGAAAAATTCAAAAATTTTAAAAATTAAAAATTTATCAATATTTGATGAAGATAAATATGGCCTATTATCATTCTTCAAATCAAACGAGTTTAAAATTAATTGTTATGGAGAAACAGAAAAGGAAAATGAAATTGAGAAAAAATTGGGTGTTTTGGAGTATGAATATAAGGGTAAAATTTTATATATTTTTTAAATAAATATGGTAAAATTAACAAAGCTATGTAAATAAATATTGCTTGCCATAATTTCCCTTCTTTTATAAAATAAGAATTTTACAACATATCAAAAAATACATTTATTTTGTTATAAAAGAAATGTTTTGATAGGCGAAGGAAGTACATACGATTTTAGATTATTCAGTCGTTAACTAATTTTTATATTCTCTAAAGTCGTGTTTTTGTGTTGCTCTCTATTATTCGTAGAGGGATTAAAAAATCAGGTGATGGATTTCATCAAAAACATTTAGTTTTTGATGGGTGTTTTTGACAGTCTAAATGGCGTAAATGTTCTAATATAAGTCCTAGGTTCGTAATTTTCAATGGGTCTACAAAGATTGGCTTATATTAGACCTACTATGTGCATACAATGAATGTACATAATTAAGTTCCTCTAAAATTAAAAGATATCTAAATAATAAACTTAATTAAGTCTAAAAATTTAGATAAATTGTATAATCAAAATAAATTAAAAAACACAAATTTTTTCCTGATTATACATGAAAAAACAATTATTGATAAAAAATTCAACGAGTTTGAAACCTTATTTAGTGGAAAATATCAGCCTCAAAGTAAAATCGAGAAAAGGAAAGACTTTCATACTGTGAAGGATTGGTTAAATGGAAGAAATTTGAATTCGATAGAAAACCGAATTTCAATGCTCAAAAAGAATTTTGTCTTAAAAGTTGTTTCAAAACCAAAACCTAAAAAAGTTTTGAATAAAATAAGAAATATTAAAAGACAAATATGGAGTAAAGGAAGGAAAAATAGAAAAATGATCAAAAGCATGAGCATGAATGAAAAAATTCTCAAAAAGAATTCGTCCATACGATTAAACCGAAAGGATGTTACAAAATCTGCTTCCTTCCCTGATAATGTTGAACGTATCAAAATCAAACTAGGTTTTCCTTTTTAGTTTTTAGTCTTTTGGTAAGGGAAGAGGATTTTTTTAAGATTGTTAAGAAGGATATGAGGTTTTTCCAACTAAAAAGTTGGTTTATCTTAACTGATCTATTAAGTAATTTTTTGTGGGTATCCGACCTAAGAGCATTAATAAACCTTTGTAAGTCTTGAGAACGAATAGAACTTTAGTGAGAGGGCCATATTTGACCAAGATGGATTTTATACTCATTTCATTTAATCCAATGATAATCAATTCACAGACTAATAATAATTTTATCTTTAATAAGGAAGTCGTAAAGGAACTTCTGAAGATTTACTCAAAAATTCAAAAATTTCGGCTGCTGCGAATGTACGAGATACAAAGAAGAAATCCAAAGCAAATAACGATGGCCAAGTTAAGCATAAGAAACATTCTAGTCTTATCAATATTAATCAGAAGAATTCTGTTGAAAAAAGCGGAAAAATGCTTTCTAATTCTGCTTCTTTTCCTGTTTACGGCTCAAAACGAGGCATGTTTATACAATACATATAAAATTTTGCTGTATAGGGGATTTTTACTGAGATTGATTGGATTTAGTCCAAGACCTAGGTGTTTTAAGGTGACTGGTTAGAGTTGTAGTAACTAGGATGGCTTCAAATATCTGGATCTCCATCCAGATTTAGGGTTTCTTCTTTATTAAAATCTGAAAAATCATCAATACCCAATCATATCCGCTGATATCTTATAACATCTGCAAACTTAATTAGCCCATGATGCAATTACTTATCAGTTGAATATTAATTTTAGCAAGTAATAGAGTTGTACCAATAAATTGAAAAACATAAGGAGCTGATGCTGCGAAAAAAACGACAGAATTTGTTCGAAACGGAAACACAAATGTAAAAAGATTGTAACTGATTTATTTATTTTTAGTTTATTATTTATTTTAGTTGTATATAGAGTTGAGCGGTATCGGGATCTTGGAATAATGATACCAATACTGGATCGAGATTTGTTTTTCGGTCTCGGGATTAGAAAAATCGCGATCGGGATTCAGAAAAACAGGGATCCCGATCCCGCCCAACGCTATATAACAGTTACATTATTCATACATTTATTCATTTATTATTTGTTCAACTATATTAGTTTAACTGAGTTTTCTTATGTAACTCCATCTATGGAAAATCATGTAACTTAGGATTGAGGTGCCTAACATATCTTCAGAGTTCCGAAATTCAGCATTCTTATTCCTAATACTTTGTGAGGACGGCGCGGCGTATTTCTAACATATTAGTCCGGTTTCGTGTAGAATCCGATTCGCTTGCAGTGATTTAAATATCCATTGGCATTAAATAAATGAGAAATAGCTAGCCGAGTTCAGCTACTATTATATTTCCCTATACCTCATATAACGGAATAAACAAACATTTGTTTAAGAATTTCCGATGTTTTAAAAAAGTCTTTTCTAAATTTTAAATTTAACCTTATTTTGCCCTTTTGCCGCCCTTTAATTAAAAAATCAAAGAAAAATAGTATTATGTTTATTGACATTCACATGCTATTCGTGGCTATTGCGCGAGATTCTTTTAATGTTTTATTGACTTTAAGCGGCTGATTAAGTGCATTTGCCAAGCTGCGCTATTCCCTTTTATTTATCCTTTTTGCGCTTTTATTTCTTCATTAAAAGAAAAATTGTTATTTATTTATTTTTATTTAGCCCTTTAAAAATATTTTTTTAATTTTTATTTAAAAAAATTGTTTTGGAAATTTAAAATTTATTAAATGTTTATCAATTCATAATGATAAAAATTTTAATTTTCTTGTTGTTTATGTTAACTATAAAGTTGGCAGGTCTACTTTTTTTTAAATTAACGTAAAATACAATTAGGTATCATTCTTAGACTTGGTATTAGCCTTAGGTATTAGTCTCATCTTTGTATGTATGTCTTGGTATTAGTCTCAGAAATAATTTCAGAAATAAGTCTCAGAAATGATCTCAGAAATAACTCTTGGTATTGTCTAAAACTGGGTATTAGTCCAGAATGAAAAAGCACCTTTATTAAGATATTGATACATAATTTAAGTTTACATAAGGTATTCCTTGTAAAATTGGCTACTTTCTTAAACTGGCCCTTTTCTGGAGATTAGGGTAGTCAGTTTTTGGATAACAACTAAGAATCGAGCCGAAAACGATCTGTTTTTCGGTGAGGTTCTACTGATCGGATTCATTGAACATAGGCCCATAAATCGCAATTACTCAAATCCTTGAAGTTTTCCCGTCAAAGAGAGATTTGCAGTTAAATATGTAAAAGACTATGGATTATAAATCCTCCATGTTGCTAGGTTCTGAGCTCCCAGAGTTATTTAAAAAATAAATAATATTCTTATGGAATAGATACAAAAATAATTTAATATTAAAAACATAATATATTTTGTTGGTACTTTATTAATATCCCGCCCCCCACCCCTATTTGAGTCTCAGATTAATTTCCCTTCTTTTACTGTCAATCATTTTTCCTTCAAACATTGAAGGTAAAAGGTAAGTACTAGGAAGGAAAAATAGACGGCAACCGCAAAAAAGCATTCATAAGAAGGAAAATTGACCATTTCGAGGCAGGAAAAATAAAATGTAAAATTAATCTGAGACTCAAATAGGGGTAGGGGCGGGATATTAATAAAGTACCATTTTGTTTATTAAAGTTTCCGATGAATTTGATCCGAAATCATTGTTGTCTGAATGTTCTCGAAACGACACCGTTGTCCATGAAAATTTTTTAAAAAATGTTTGTGTTCACAAAGGAAATAAAAATTTGAAATCGAAGCAAGCTGTTTGGGAACTTTTGGCCAAGTATTTAGTGCCTCTTCCGCGATGGAAACGCCAGGAAGTTGTTCTAAACACTTGTAGTGATCTGAGAATTGGTCTTCCTACAGAACAGGAAAATGAAGAAAATCACAACGAGGAGTTGACACAATGTTTGAATGGTTTATTCTTTGGAGGAAAAAATGCGGGGTTTGCTGGCATTAACAAGGGGGCTAAGGATAAATTTTATCCAAAGGCAGCAAAAATCTTTATATATATGATAGAGGAAAAGCCAAAAGTTTTGGGGAAAATACTTTTTGAGCAAATTGAATCGAGGAATCCAGGTTTACGTTTTAACTAACTTTTTATTATTTAAACTCAACCTGATCAGAGCGTAACTTAAATTTTATAATAATTAACCTCTCACGGGTATAACAATTTACCTCTCATAACTCTTTCTTAATTGCTTACTACACCGAAGGGTTGGTTACAGTAACCATGAGTTTTGAACTAAGGAAAAGCGTGTTTCTCCTCAATGTAAAAGAACAGAAGGGAATATGAATAATGGAAGCGGTGTATATTAAGACAGAGTTCTTCCTGTGTCTTAATTTAAGACCCAAGAAGAGCATCAAGTTTGATCAGGCTTATCGGAAGGTTCAAGAAACAGACAATTACCTCTACACGAATACTTACACATCTGCTGATAATAATAAATAATTTCAGATTTCAAATTAATTTATGAAATTTTGTTTGCACGTCCTAGACGTGAGATCAAGCCAATAATAAGGAATCCTAAAAAGTACTATCCCTTTAATGAAGCTGTAAATAAAATTTACAATAAATATCCGAATTTATTACTCGAGGATAACGATTATTATAACAACTCTGATAAATCTTCTGATAAATCTTCTGATAAATCCTCTGATAAACCTTCTGATAAAAATTCTGATAAACCTTTATTGGAAAAACATTTGAAATTAAAAAAGAAATTGAACAAAGACAAAGGAATAAAACAGGTCTATGAACTGTTGATCAAAAGAATTGATGCGATAAATAAAGGAATGGGAATTGTGGATGTGGTTGAGATGGATGAGGTAAAATTTTGTTCAAAGGCATCTGCATTAGCGGATTGTATTTTATATTGTATTTTTATATTTGATTTTTTATGAACCATTGAAAAATAAATAAGTTATAGATAAGTGGAGAAGAGGGCGAAGAATTATAATAACTACAAACAAATTTTTTCCCGAAATAGGTTTATTATGGATGGTATATTGAAAATCTTCGAGCTATATCCAGTTTTTTGGGTTCCATCCTAAAATCCGATCCATAATGGTAATCCCAATATCAATTAATTTTTTTCCCTAGTTAATATACAATTCTAGTGTTAATTAGTTAAGTTTACTAACAATTAGAGAAATACTTTCTGAATATGAGAATACAATAAGTTATTAATTTATAGCTTTACAACTCGATAACTCAGTTCAAAGAGACAAAAATTGAAGAAAAGGAAATGTCTGGATTAACACATCTAATCGAGAATTTATTGGCAAAATTTCAATTTAAATCGACAGCTGCATTAAAATTTGGAGAAAAATTCCAAAAAGAAGAAAACCGAAATAACCACCCTTTATTTAATTCTCAACTAAAAATACAAAAAACTGGAAATTTTTTCTCAAAAATTTTTTCAAAAAATAAGAATCAAAAAACTTTAGAAGGTACACATCAAAAGCCTTCTGAAAGTACACATCAAAAGCCTTTAGAAGGTACTCATCAAAAAGAAAAACGTCCAAGAGAGTTTAATAAATTTTATTGGGAGCAGTTGAAAGAAATAATGTTAATTAGTGGACTGACAGAAGATAAAACTAATTATGACAAGAGAATTGAAAAAGAGTTTGATGAGATAAATAAAAATGGAAATGATAAAGGTTTGTTTATTGTAAATATTGTATCTGAGATGTTTTATGGCACAAATTACAAGTCCACTAATTACATCTGATCCGTCTAAAACTGCATTTCCTTATTATGATGCATGCTTTGCTAGAGCACACATAACGACAAAAATAATTTGCTCTGTTTGAGTAACGAATGAATGATCGAAAATAATTCATTAAGCCTTGAAAATACTATTACTTTTATATGGCTTAATAAATGTATTTGTTTATATGGTGTAAATTTTGTTGGTTTATATTTATGCTTATTTATGCTTTACTAAGCAGCTCATTGTTTTATTTTAATACAAAATCTCATATTTTGCAGAATTAATCAACTTCTTAACATTACATATTGATGAAGATATGTCAGAAATATTGGCTAATTATCCAAAGGAGAATGAGGAAAAATATTTGAAAAATTTCTTGGGCCTTCTTAAAGGAAAAACTCACTTTTTCTTGGCTTATAGCAGCATTCTTAATGAAATGAGGGAACCAAATTGTTATTCAAATACTGAAAAAGAGAATTCCTTCGAAGACAGATTTCAACAATTTAAATCGGAGAAGAAATGTAAAGTTTATGTTTAAACTTTTAGTTATTATAGTGAGAACAATATTCTAACTTTTTGAGGGGATTGGCGATTGGCCAGCCTAAAAAAATGGAAATATCTGCCCTTTGATTAATTACCAAAGCAAATCCTAATCCTAAACATTTCATGTAATACATAGATTATCGATAACAAATTAACGTATTTATTCTCATAAAACCATATCACGACTTGAACTATAGTCTCTAATATGACTTCAAAAATCGAGAGATTGAAAAATAAAACCACAGTGATTGACCACTCCAAACGAGTTAAACACTAATTTAAAAAATAATTTTAATTTTCCAAAATTTACAGTAAAATACATGCATCTTATAAAGCTTTATAAATGTCTGCCTGGAAAGAAGCTTCTTCGAACTTCATCAAAAGAAAAAAACAAAAATAAGGTCACTTTCTCCAATCTCGACTCCGATAAAAAAGAAAAAATTGAAAAAAGTATCCGTGAGAGCTTATATGAAAAACCTCATAGTGAAATGATAACAATGAATTTCGATAAT